TTCCAGCCTGCAACAGGCTGGGGGGAGCAGGAGGAAGGCAATCAGAGGCAGAGGGCACCATCTCATCATGGCAGCACAGCACTCCCTCCAGTGCTGGGTTCCATCTGCTGGGCTGTAGAGGCAGCTCCTGCTTGGAGCTGGTCTGGCTCAGATGCAGCCCCACACCCCACTGTGGATGCAGAAATCTCAGGGAGGCACATGCCTCCCCCGCTGCATTGCTTGTCCCCCCACACATTCCCCACACACCCACTCCCTTCCTCACACTGGGGAGGGCTGGGAGTAAGGGCCTGCAGGTCAGGAGTGAGGAGCCCTGGCAGGACCAGGGGGCTGTTGGTCAGAAGTGAGGGGCACCAGCAGAGCTGGAGGGATGGGAATCAGGAGTGAGGGGCACTAACCGGGCTGGGAAGCTGTGGGTTGGGAGTGAGTGACCGGGCTGGGAGGCTGTGGGTCCAGGGTGAGGGGCACTGGTAGGGCTGGAGAGGGCTGTGGCTTGGGAGTGAGGGGAAACAGCATAGGCAGGGGCAGGGCACTGGTGTATCAGGGTTGCTCAGCACCACAAAGCAGTATCAGGGGACAGCTGCAGTGGGACCCACATCCTGGTGAGTGGAGGTGGCAGAGGTAGCTCTGATTTTCCATAATAAAAACCAAAAATCAAATACTAAAATGTATAGGTATTTACAGTTTATTTTATTATAGTGATTGAAGCAGTGGTAGGCTTCCAAATTGTTTTTAAAGTGTAAATATATCAATAAAACATTGTTTTTGTATGCCAATAAAATTTATCAATTAATAAATTGATCAATATTTATCAAATGATAAATATATCAATAAAGCATTGTGTTCAACTGATACCTATATAGAGAGAGGTATTTCAGTTTAATAACAGGAAAATAAGGATTTTAGGTTTTTTAATCCGAGAATTTGCAATAGTGGTTTTATCAGAGAATCTGTAATTTTTAAACAGAGAAAACCAGGATCCCTGGTCATAAGATTGCACCTTACAATGCAGTGAATTTATTGCAGAGTAAAATTTGAAATACATTATTCTAGAATAAATGTGTCTTTTGTTTGAAACATATAATTACAATGTCTTACAGCTAAAATAATGCTTTCATTTCTGTTTTAGGTCATTCTGAAGCAAATGATGACTCAAAAGGATATTTAGTTTGTTTGATTTCTAAAAACAGAAATAAAATAATCAAAATCTTATTTAGATTAAGTTTCTATATATACTGATGTTACTTCACTGGTGTAGGCAGGATGAGTTTTGGCTACTCTTAATCATTAACCTATGAAGTGATACCTATTGAGTGGGTGTATCTACATAAGACGTTTACTGTGGAACTGACTAATTACCTCTGCAGTAAATGTCTCACGTGTACACTTGCAGGGCTATCAGGCAGGAGTAAACTAATTAACTCAGCAAATGCATGTACTATACTGCTTCAGAGTTACTAATTCAATAGTAAATGCAACTAGTAAATACTAATTAACTCAGTAAATACAAGTACTATCCTGCTCCAGCATTTTTTTATTCCACAGCAGCACATGTGTACAGGGTGCTTCAGTGTGGGGGCTGCCTACCAGCTAGCCCCATGCTGAAGCACCCTCGTATCCCATCCAGCCCCTCTGCAGCACATTGAGCTGGATCAGAGCATCCGCAGGCTGGCAGACTGACCCCCCCAGGTTCCCCGCCAGCTGGGACTGTTCTGCCTGGGTTCAGTGTGCTGCACACCTGCATACACATGTAAACGTGGTGCCTGGGAAGCAATAAACTCTAGTGTGATAAGTGCCAGACTGTTTCGACTTAATTGCACATGTAGACATGCCCAGTCTAGTATAAACTAAATTCATACTGTTTGGCTGTTTTCTGGGCCCCGGGAACAATATGGGAGGAGGCTGTTAAGTAACAAAGGATAGATCCATCACTCAAGGTGGTGCAAGTATATTGTGATGCTGAAACAGACAGTTCAACTTCATGGGTTAAGCTGCATAAACTATATTTCCTTTCTATATGCACAGTAGAATGGTAGGAATTAAAACTGTTGTGAGCACAGATGTTACAAGATTTACTTGGAGATAGATGTGTGCTTTGTAACAGTGCAGACAGGAAATTTGTCTTCTGGCAATTTACTTGCACAAAAAGCCATTAAGATTAATGCCCATCTTGTGCACATTTGATTTTACTCAGGCATAATTGCTAGGAAATTATGGAATTATTGAGGCTTCTTATAAGTATGACATAAGTAAAATGCCTTCTTAAACAGGTTCATATAGGCACCATGTAGCGTTTTATACTTGGTTAAATCTGTTGATGTGTGTCAACCAAAACATAAGTGATACTAGACAATGTGAGCTCAAGAAAAACAGGAGTTCAAAGACAATTCTGGCTGCCAGCCTAAATGAATACAAGGAATGTTTAAGATTATATAATATTCCAGGAAAGCACTGCCATGCTGTATAACTTATATTCCTCATAAGTTAGAACCCTGTTCACCTGAACTGAGCTGAAGTTCACCTGAACCATGAAATTATGAATAGGTCAGAGTTCAGGATAAGTTTGTACTTTTCCAAGAACTGTAGAACCAGCTCAAATCAAGGAAGAAAGTACAAAGCAAAGGCAACCATGGAACTGATTGCATTTATTGCAATAAAAAATAAATACAACAAAAAAATCTGGTTGTTTTGAACTTAACAATGTTCAAAGATAAATGACCGAAGACTCAGAACATAGCAAGGGAAGGAACAGTGAGGCAACTTGATGGAGTAATCAGGGACACCCCTCCCCTCCCACCCCCTCATGTTCAGTTTCAAACTGCACTTTGGGTATAAGCAAGGTATAAGCAAAGTAAGAATGTGCGCTGCCTCTTCAAACTGATCAAGCAAATAGAGATTAAAATAAGATGCGGCTGATGTCCGCAGACAATCTAAACTGCAGCCTGAACTTGAGTGTAGAAAAAATGGAACTAGCTTTAAACAAGCTAGCTCAGATATCAGACAGTCTATCTGTGGCAGCATGGAACCCTGAGCAAGCTAATAGAACCTGCTTCTTAGATGATGTTATTAGCCCTTGGTGTTGTGGCCTGATCGCTCCCAGTACAGGATCTAGCTCATTCACAATACCATGGGTACCTCTACACTACCCCATTTTTTACAGTATATACGTACCTTTAGATTAATTGGTGTAATGCCAACTATCTTCTCAACTCAATATGGGCATAATGGGAGGCCTGAGTTTTGCTTCATGCTACTCAGGATGTAGTCAACACTACACGGTAGCATTCCCTAGGAATGGTGACAAGCTTCCTCTGGTTCTTTGACTAGAATTATTCTCTACAAAAAACTGTGCAGAAGGTTCCATAAAGGCTTCATGGACATTGTGGGGATACCATAATTAATAATCAGTATGGGAGGCTCTTCTGGACGTTTGTCATTTGCCATATACTCTGCATTCTATATTATAATCATTTTATTCTCTTAATAATTACTAACAGGATCATTTGATCAAATAAAATTATGTTTTTTAAATGAAAACTACTTTGTTAACAGCATTAGTAAGCTTTCTGTCATGATGTTTGTTGTAAGCAATTTCAGTAAAATTGTAGAGATACCATGTGTCACTTACTACAATACTGTGTTAAAAACAGCATTTAGGCTGACTTGCTTTTGCATTTGAACACTGAATTGTCAGATTATTTCATACTTTTGAAAATATATCAGATTAAAACATATATGAGCTACCTAAATGATAAATATGACAGTGGCCAGTACTGCCTTGTATGACCTTCTAACAATTTGTGTTTGAGTCTGTACTTTTTCTTTAATTTTAATTATCACTATCAGAAAAAAGCATTCTCAGGTAGTCACATAATAAAGGATATGCACTGAAGTTCTTAATAGATACCCAGTACATGTAGGTAGCATATGGAAAGAATAATTATTTTAATATTATCATCAAGGTTTTTAGTCTTTTAATCTCAATTTATCCTGCCCATTTTTATTCCCAATTTTTACCACTTTAGAGAAATATTATCAAAACAGTAGGCTTCACTTAATGAATCTTAGTCCCAAATAAACCCCTCTTCTGTTGTCTCATATGTATTTCCTTCCAAATTAGTATTTTCAGTTTTTCATTTCTACATGAAAATTAAATATCTTAGTGTCAGCATTTCTTTGATCAGTGATTGAGGAAAATAATCAAAATTCACACAACACTTACATAAAAGATTAACATTACTGTAAAAATATTTGGTAAAAAAGCAGGTAATATTCTACACACAGAAAACTGAAAAACATGCAGCAAAGTAAGCATTGTAACATATTAGTACAACCTACATTTGCATTAATCTACAGTACCTTAAGGGTTTCCTAATGAAAAAAGGCAAACAATTTGTACCCAAATAGGTCTGTAAAGCTAAATAAATTCAGTGGCAGACAAAAATCATTTTTGAAGTTAAGCAACTCAACATACTTTTCAATGCGAGTACTGGGTATAAAATATACAAATTTGTTTCTTTAGACAAGGTACAAATTTATTTGCCAATCTTCTACTCAAGGTGCTACTATTACTTGGAAAATGCAAAAAAAGGACATGGTAAATAATGATAATGAATGATTTAAAGAGACAGCAACCTCAGTAAAATGAGATCAGGCATCAACAGTACAAGATTATTTACTACTCATACAATATACATGTGCATGTATGGAGTTACATGACCATTATTACTACTAAAACCTGCACGAGTTTAATGATATATCAAGTAAATAGTAAAACAAAAGCAAGTTGTCTCTTTAAATTTTAATTTAATACTTTGAATCCCCATGCAAAACTTTACAAGCTGCTCACACAATGATATGAAACTTGTTAATATGGTTTGAAGCAACACACTAAAATGGGAAAACGGACTAAAATGTAACGTTTTCCTACTATGCATTTTCCAAAACAAACAAAAGAAAGAAAAACATAACTTTAATTTCTGTCAGGCACAAGAAGCCTTTACCTGAACCCTAGGAACAAAAGGCGTTGTTCTTCTACTAAGGCTTTGGCTCTGGTAAGCAAAATTAAAGAAAAAGCAATAAAACAAAACCAAAAAGGACAACACGCTGGAAACTAAAAGACCAAAAGTAAAAACAAAGACACACAACTATTACTTTAAACACAGCTTTACACCAATTACATTTATCTAAAACAAACGTATAATGCAGTGTATAAATTAAATCTGCAAATATATTACTAACATGTATCCAAACTCTAGGAGTGAAACTGAACCCTCATGAAGTCAATGGGAGTGTTACCATTGATTTCAAAAGATTTCATCCTTTATGTCTCTGGATTATGTTTACAACAGATTAAGATATAATATTAACAAAAGCAATGTCAATACAAAGTGATTTAAAACTACGTTAGAAAATATTATTTCAGACTCAATGTCTCTCAAAAATATTGTAAGTGTATATTCAGGGGCTGGAAACTAAGACAGTTCATACATTGCCAACTTCACTTCATTTGTGCAACAGGGAAAAGTAATACTAGATTTCCTCTTTTTTGCAGTATAAAGCAGCATTAATAATCACATACCTCAAACCCTGTAACAACCCTTAGTACAAAGCTGGAGTTGTTACATATTAGCAGAGGAGGGAAGGAAAGCGCAATGAATATATTTAATTCTCTAGTGACCATAACAGGAATGACATATGGTATATACAAAAAACCTCTGTGTGGAATGGGGCTGGCAGAATTTAACGATCCATAGGAGTCACACTATACACAGTTTGGTAACTTGGTCACCCTTATTCATGCTAAGGAGTACCTTTCCATGAAGGTACTCTTACGGCTGTCAATGGGACTGTCCACAAAGATCAAGAAAGATTTAAATCCCATTTCAGATCTGACTTAACCAGCCAGGATTATTACTATTACTAGAAAGTGAGAGAAATAAGAAGCTACTTGCACACAAGGATACTTAAGCAGCTCCATAAGACAGGATTAAGTAATTTAGGATTAGATCCAAATTGATAAACTAGGTGCTTATATGGGACTTAGATGAAATTTAGATACCAAAATCACCAGAGATTCTGAATATTTTTGCTTCATCAACTTCAAAAACCCTTAGGTGCCTAAATTCATCTAGCATGTATACTCTCGCCTTAAACAACTTGCTAGGGGTGCATCTACATGTGCAATTAATGCAAAGCGCTAAACTCCAGTGCTTATCTGAGTTTATTGCTCCTAGGCACATTGTTTGAATGTGCGCCCGGGATCTCAGAATGTTGAGCTAGGTCAGATCAGGCCCAGTTGGCAAGGGGCCATGAAGATAAGCCTGCCACCCCAGGGCTGTTTCTGCCCAGCTCAACATGCAAAGGGGCTAGCTGCGGCTGGCAGGCAGGAAGCCCCTGCACTGAAGCACCCTTGTGTCCCCACCATCTGGGTCAACGTGAAAAAATTTTGCAGCAGGGTAGTACTTGTATTTGCAAGCACTACCCTGCTGTGGAGTTTATTAGTTTACAGAGACCTAACAGGGCTTCATATGTAGATGCTGAGACATTTACTGCACAGCTAATTGGGCAGCTCCACAGTAAATGTCTTGCGTAGATGTGCTTTAGAAAACTAAGTGTAAATCCAGCAGCATCCCAGTCTGAGCACCTAGGTTTCTGAAATCTGACTTCTTCTGTGACGAGAAATAGAGTAGTAGCTAACCTCTACCTAAGTCCTCAAAGAGGCCTGATCCATTGCATTTCCTCCAAGAATACCTAAAACACAGTGACAAATTTAAATTCCATAGAAAACTGAATACCCATAATTTCTTTAATTAAAAAAAATGTGGTGATGAGATAATCAACACAGAGCAAGAGGGAAAAGCTGGTATCAATACCCGTTCAATACCTGGTGCTAGGGTTATTCTGTTATTAATCCAATGACAGTCTCAGGCATTAGTAACAAAGGGTCCAGAATGCAAAACTTCCCCCACAGGGGAGGGCCCATATCACTAGGCTATAAAGTAATACTCTCCACTGCGTGCTCTCCCGTTCCCATGACTGCTGCATTCTTGGCCGTGCAGTAGCCAAGCTACAGCATGAGCAGTGGCGTATGCCTCCATTCAGACAATCTTGTATCTTGACATTTAGGACCTTCTCTTGGAAAGTAGGAGATTGAGTCAGAATCTCTGAAGACTGAGGACAGCCTAGGGCAGGGGTGGGCAAAATGCGGGCCGTGGGCTAGATGCGGCCCACCAAGCCACTCTATTCCGCCTGCGGGGCCCCTAAAAAAATTTAGAAAATTAATATTAATCTGCCCTGGGCTGCCTGTCATGCAGCCCCTCGATGGCTTGCCAAAACTCAGTAAGCGGCCCTCAGTCCAAAATAATTGCACGCCCCTGGCCTAGGGCCTAGATCATGGGTGGGCAAATATGGCCTGCAGGCTGTATTGGGCTCTCAGAGGACTCCATTTCCCAGCAGCCCCAGCCCATGTCACTGTTGCCTTTTTCTATGGAGACCCCAGGAGTGGCAGCGCCATAACAGCACGGGGCCAGGGTTTCCATGGAGACCAGCTCCAGCTGCACTGGCAGGGCGTACAGCTGGACAGGGAGCTGCTCTGGGGCCAGGGCTGGGATCTTGCAGTGGTGACAGCTTGGTCTGGAGCCAGGGCACAAATGTGATCCGCTGCCCACAAGCCTCGGGTAGGTTGCAGCTCTGCCCCGGCTCCAAACCATGCTGTCACCCTGGATTCACTGTCCAGGGATCCAAGGTGAATAACCCTATCTATCTGGACCACCTTCCTGAAAAAGAAGGTCTACTTTTTAAGTGTGCTGATGCCAGGATTAGGTCATTAGTCTTACACCTTGAGAAAAGGGAGCAAAAGAAAAGCTATGACTCCTCACAGTTTGTTCTTTGGTCCTCTCCTGCACCAATGCAATTGCATAGCACTACTCACCTTGGGCAGAATGTGAAATTACTATGTTGCCCAACAAGAGTAAGCTTGTCAGAATATGGCCCATTCTACTAAAGTAAGAAACAGGACTTAATTCTGTCAATGACACCTGTGTACTACAATGACATAAAAAACAGCAAATTTATTATAGGTCTGGTGAGGTCTAAAAAGCAATTTTTGCCTCCTGAGCAGTCAGTGGCAGCAGCCAGGGCAGCAGTGCTTATCAGGCAGACACCAGCAGCAGCCACTAATCTTGTACCCCTCCAAATCAGTGCTCAGGGCTTGCCCACCCCTAATTACACTACCATAGGTCTATGTTGGAAAACAGGCACAATCGTACAACTGAGAGATTGAATATCTCCTACAATGTGCTTAGCACCCTTTATTCTCACTCACTGCAGTGGGTTCTGAGGGCTTACAGCCTTGCACATTTGAGTCCTAGGTCAACAACGGCATTTCTGCTTTGATTCTTCAGAAACCAGGTAATTAATTTTGAATTACCTTCTATCATTAGAAAACAATTTCACACAGAGACAACTTTAGTTCAAATCACATTAGTTTAAAAAATGTATGAAACTTAAACCAGCTTCTTTTTCCTTCCTCTACTGAACTCAACAAATGATGAAAGTAGTTGGTTTCATATATGATCTAACTTCTTCCCCAACCCTCAATCCCCTCCCCCACACACAGAGGATATGTGGATCAGCACGTCTACTGCAACTAACAATCTCCCTTTCCTAATATGCCAAAAAGTATGAGAAAATATGTCTTAACTATAATGTTTTAAAAGCAAAATATACACAGTAGGTATAATGAGGCACAAAGGGTTCTGTGCAGGAAAAAAATTCCTATGTAAAATTGTACAGGCAAATAATCCCTTAAAATATATGACAGATCACTCTTCCCTGCAGGGTTTCTATTTCCTGAAAAAGCAAGTTATTGTGATTTTATATCTGTAATCATTTTAAATTCATAAGGTCATCTTTTCAGTCTCAAATGCTAACCACTGCAGTACTGTCTCTAAGCTATTCTTTTCATGCAGCACTGAAGAAATAGCCAGAATGCAGTAATGAAGCAAATAGCAGCAATGCTCAAATACTGCTTTTTCTGCAATTAAAGAAAAGCAAATAAGTAAGTGAAAAGTAAAGAACAAGGTACCAAGAGAAGCAAATAATAATAAAAACAGTAGTAGCAACAAAAATTCCTCTTACAAAGAGAAGTACCGAAAATACAGTTTAATGTAACCTGTGCAAAACACAGACAGCATATTATTCAAATGAGTTAATAAATTATAACATCCACAATTCTCTGCAAGTACACAGAATTAATTTAAATGAAATATGCATTTAAAAACAGTAAATATTTATAAGTTCTTTGGTTACACAAGGTAATCTCCTAGTAATCCTTTCAGCCTCTTGATGGAAAAGCAAAACCAGCAATATGTTCCTAACTGCTGAAGCTGGAGCTACACTGCAGCCTCAGGGGAAACAAACTGTCTTCTGTTGCAGAAAAAAAATGGAGACTAACTGATATGAAAGGAAAATGACTGAGGAGAGGAATATACAGAGAAAGGCAGCCCAAAATACTAACGTGGCAGCACTACATTCAATCTGACTAAAAAAAGTCTTTAATCGCAACCTTTGAGATCTGAGATACAGTACAGTAGACACTAGAAGCACATTGCTCATCTTTAAAAAATACACTCCCAAGATTTTCTTATATTTGTTTGGGAATCAGTTCTTTGGCATAAATGTAAAACTCGAATGCATGAAGTTAGGATCAAAACTCCAAAGACATGAATGCAATGGGCCATAATTTCAAAGGCGGAATGTTTTTATTAACTTCAATGGGAATGTTCGCTGCTTGGTCTCTTTGACTGCATCTACAGATGTACATTTACTGTGCAGTAACCAAAGTTGATGTGAACTATGGGTGTGTATCTAAATATGGCAACTTACACTGACTTGAACATAAATTTGATATCTATATCACGCAGGTGTCAATTTGATGCCCAGTTAGTTACTGCATAGTAATGCATGTGTAGACACATTACTGTAGAGTAACCCAGGGGCTTCCCTGATGCGTCTGCCTAGCCACTAGGGGGCCAGCCTGAACCCAGCC